TTTTATTAAATAAATAATAAATATCCTATTACATCTCATGCTTCTATGACACCATTCCCAACAATCTCCCACTTGTCCTAAAGCAGGTAGAATATGTCTCTAAAATTGAAACTTTCTAGGTATCTATGACTGATCTATGTCTGGAACAACTTCCAGATCAGTTAAGAATTTCTAGAGCCAGGTTGCTTTCTTTTTGTTGCTTCACAAGCTGCTACACATTAACTCTAATGATAGAATTAGCAATCACACTTTGCCAACAACCTTTCTTGTCTTGACTCCTTCACCTAGTGTGAACACATTCACTAACTAAACTTATCTCATAGTTTCTTGTTTTCCTCATACACTTAAGGATGCACTACACGGCTACCCAATGATCGAATCTTGAGTTCAACTGACAACGACTAACCACTCCCACTGAACATTTGATATTCGGGCTTATAAAGAATAAGAACATCTTCTTTTCTTTCATTTGAAACATCTTAGTTTTGATCAAATCCATAAGACTTAATAGCCTTATCAAACCGGACGTTCCATGATCTAGAAGCTTGCTTCAATCCATAAATAGATCTCTACATCTTACAAACTTTCTACTCTAGGCCTTTCTCTATGTAACCCTCTGGTTGATCGATATAGATGGTTTCCTCAAGATAGCCATTCAGAAAAGCTGTCTTGACATCCATCTACCATATCTCATATTCAAAATATGTTGTTATTGTAGGAAAATTAATGGCATCGAGTGCGAAGCGGAATTTAAAAATTTTAATCACCGTCAAAACCAAACAAGAACATGTTCATGATGCTATATATCATAAATACTAAAGATCTAAAACATACCTTTTTGAGATTTCAGGAAACTGCACGTCTGACAGATCAAAGCGTTCCAAACAGCAACCGGAAGAGCCTCAACCAACTGGTCTTCTTTGCTATTCTCATTTCCACAATCGGTGTGTGGGTGGGCACACGTCGTTTAATCTCCTCTAGGTATTCTTGATCTCCTTCCAATCACAAGAGAGCCAAAGAAAAAATTGTTCTTGAGAATTAAAAAAATTTTCCTCTCAGGAATCTTTTATCAATAGCCTCCAAAAAGTCTCTCAACTGATCTAATGAATAATGTGACTTAATAGGCTATTTATAGTGTTTTAGAAGTCATACTTCCGTAACAATTAGGTTTCCTAAAGTTCTAATCGCATCCAGAGTCAATTTTCCCACGTCAGCATGCATTTTACGTTACAACCGGTCGACCGGTGACAGAGACGTTATACCTCACCGGTCGACCTATCTTCACTAACCGGTCGACCGGACCGGTCGATCTGTGACCGGTCTACGCAACCGGTCGACCTGTTTGCACTGACGAAAGTTATTTTTCCTAGTTTTTCAATACGGAAAACTTGCATAGAGCCTTAGTTTTGATTCAAGCAACCCAATAGAGAAATTGCCTAATGTTGCGTGATAATTATGCTCGCAAGTGCACATGTCGCTAACAAGTAATAAAGTGTACACAAGTACGGATATCAATCCCACGAGGAAAGAATCACCAAAATATGTGTCTGGAGTTGTATAATCAACAAAACAAGTAAATGATGAATGTGGTGAGAAATTCACTAAAATGATGTAAATAAATGAATGCAAACTAAATGCGGTCTAAAGTGACTAAGAGTAAAAAGAATGTAGTGATGGAATGTAATTCAATGGTGAAAATGAGCTAGGCCTGCTAATTTCCCCTCTACTGCAAGTCTGACTAGAATGTTACCAAGAATGCTGCAGCATTCTACTATCCTGTTAACAGAAACTCGTTGATGCATAAAGTTCTCCCGAATTGATTATGACTCTTGTCCTTTAAGCTATTTCTGACGACACATTCCTATGTGAATCCAGCTCTAGGACTGCAGATTTAAGCTCATGTTTCATTAAGTTATGCAAGGTGGATAATATATTCCTATACCATCCACTAATCAACAACTCAACAAGTTCATTGAACAAACATCATTCATGCTAATCCGATTAAAACTAACCCTTCCAGTATTAATCTCAATCTTGTATCCTAAGGTTGATGGCCAATCAAGAATAGAAATAAACATTAGCTCACATGAATGAACAGGAATAGTAGATTAATAGCATTTCAGAAACAACTTGTCATTCTTACAATATTGGTTCCATTAGCAAGCCTAGCTACAGCAACTTAGTTCATAATGATAGTTACAAGACCCAAAACTCCAGTATAATCCATATCTAGAATTAGTAGCTAAATGACAACAAAAAGAGTTAAGCTAACAGAAGAAGAACAAGTTCAGCTGGATCTTGGATTCCTCTGTGGCCGGCCAACAATGTCCTTCAACTTCCAGCTCTCACGTCTCTGTATTTCCTTCTAGGCTGAATATTGCTTGATGTTTTGGTTTCTTCAGCTTTCCTCCGAAGCTTTTTCCTCTCTGAATAATGCCTTTTTGTGTTTTCTGGTGTCTCCGTACCCTCCTCTGTGAAACAGCAACTGTCTTCTCTTTATATTAATGCCCAATTCTCTCTCTTCCTCTTTTTCTCCCCCTGGCGGCTGCCAACTTGTCCTGAGAGAAACATTCCCTTCTAGGGCAACACAAGGGCTGAGGTGTCATTGCTGATGTGCACAGTGGACCCATTTGACACCTCCTCAGCCAGCTCAAACGGATTCCTTTCTGTCTGCTTTGTCTAGCTAGTGCGCTGACATCAATCAGCTGCTAGCTAATCTCAGAATGTCGCCCAGAATGCTGCAGCATTTTAGCCCAGCAATTTCCTGCAAGGAACTCACAGAGAATTAGCCAGTTTTTCATCTATTTTACTTTGAAATTACCAGCTTTCATTTCAAAAGGTGCAGCAATACGGAATTAGGCCACAGTACATGTAACTCTACAAATCTAACTTAAAACAAACAATAAACGAGAACAATCACTCATGGACAAACAATTTTAGGCTATAAAACTAGTGGATAACTCTAATTTCTTAGAGTTATCACACCCCCAAACTCAGAGTGTTGCTTGTCCTCAAGCAAAACAAAAGTGACAACAAGACAAAGAGGAATGAACTAAAACAGAAGAAAAAAAACTAATGCATACTTTGTGGATAATTTCTCAAGAGATTTTTTATATGTCCTTAAAACACAGGTTAGAAGTGCAGTCAAAAGAAAAACATGAATTCCAGCCAAAATTTGATTTCAAGTCATCAGATTGCTCCTTCTCTGCTTGGACCTTTTTTTGTGTGTGTGTGAACAACCAAGTGCCAAATCAACAAGGTCAACTAGTTGGGACCCTGCGCATGCGTTTTACATCAAGCTCTTCTTAATACAAGATCAAGCCCCATAAGCTTGTTTTTCAAAACTCTCTCCACTAATGTAAATCAACACAACACCAAGGGTCAATAGGACTTCATTAGGCTTGTAATGTTAGGCTAGGGTGAAGGTAGAATGGAAGGTAATATGTTGGCTCAACTCTTCTTCAAGCACCTTACACTCTAGAACTTTGCAGTTACAAACAACATTCCCATGAAACTCCCCCAAACTCAAGTCTTGCTTTCCCTTGCCCACTCAATTGGCTTTTATTTCTAAATGTCCTTTTATTATACCCTTCACTTTTTTTTTAATCTACCAAGAATTGCCAACTTGCCTTTTTACGTGAATGCCAACATTGGTGATGAAGTCACCCGGTTACTCAACAAGTTGCAAATCAAGGCGCTTTTCCTTTTTTTTTTTTAGCTTGCTCTTGCCTTGGTCTACCATTTGACGCAAAAGTGAACATGGGGCTCATGCTCACTCCTGGTTACTTATTAGAGAATGGGATTCTATCCCATTTAACTGCACCTGGCACTCCACAGTAGAATGGTGTAACTGAGAGAAGAAATAGGACCTTGTTGGACATGGTACGGTCCATGATGAGTTATTCGACATTGCCTATATCTTTCTGGGGATATGCTTTACAAACTGCATGTTATCTTCTAAACAACGTGTCAACAAAGTCGGTTCTTAAAACTCCTCACGAGTTGTGGACGGGCAGGAAGACATCCTTGAACCATATTCGCATATGGGGATGTCCTGCACATGTCCTGGACAAGGAAGCGAACAAGTTGGAAGCACGTTCAGAAGTGTGCATTTTTGTAAGTTATCCGAGAGGGGCGAAAGGGGGTTATTTCTATAATCCCAAGGAAAATAAAGTCGTGGTTTCAACGAATACAACATTCCTTGAGAAAAGTTACATGAACGACTTTAAGCCTCGTAGCAAAATGGTGCTTGAGGAAATGTTGAGTGACTTGGTCATACCGACTGTTCCTTTAGAAACCAATCCAATCAGAGTAGAAGAGGAAACCCAACAACAACCTAAGGGGCTTTGGCATAGTGGGAGAATCAGAACAAGGAAGCGAACAAGTTGGAAGCACGTTCAGAAGTGTGCATTTTTGTAAGTTATCCGAGAGGGGCGAAAGGGGGTTATTTCTATAATCCCAAGGAAAATAAAGTCGTGGTTTCAACGAATACAACATTCCTTGAGAAAAGTTACATGAACGACTTTAAGCCTCGTAGCAAAATGGTGCTTGAGGAAATGTTGAGTGACTTGGTCATACCGACTGTTCCTTTAGAAACCAATCCAATCAGAGTAGAAGAGGAAACCCAACAACAACCTAAGGGGCTTTGGCATAGTGGGAGAATCAGACATGAACCTGAGAGATTCATGACTAATGGGGAAACCTTTTTGGCAGAATCTCTGGAACATGACAGAGATCCATATACTTACAAAGAAGCTATGGAGGATGTTGATGCAAACCTCTGGACAGAAGCCATGAAAGCTGAGTTGAAATCTATGGATTTTAATCTAGTCTAGGAACTTGTAGATCTTCCCGATGGGATTAAGCCCATTGGGTGTAAATGGGTCTACAAGAGAAAGAGAAATGCAGAAGGAAAGGTCGAAACCTATAAGGCTAGACTGGTAGCTAAGGGATACACGCAAAAGGAGGGAATCGACTACGAGGAACCCTTTTCGCCTGTAGCCATGCTTAAGTCCATCCGCATTCTCTTATCCATTGCGGCTGCTCTCGACTACGAGATCTGGCAAATGGATGGCAGGACGGCATTCTTGAACGGCCATCTTGAGGAAAGTATCTATATGGTACAACCAGAAGGCTTTGGGACTAAGGGTCAAGAGGAAAAAGTTTGCAAGTTACTGAAATCCATTTATGGATTAAAGCAAGCTTCCCGTTCTTGAAAGAAAAGATTTGACCAAGTGGTCGAGACTTTTGGATTTCAACAGAATATGGATGAACCTTGTGTTTATAAGCATATTCAAGATGGGAAAGTTATTTTTCTACTGTTATATGTTGATGATATTCTACTCATTGGCAATGATGTAGGGGCTTTTTCATCAGTCAAAGTTTGGCTTACCAAACAGTTTGACATGAAGGACTTAGGAGAAGCTAATTATGTTCTGGGCATTCGAATCATAAGAGATCGAAAGAACAAAATGATAGCTCTCTCTTAGGCTTCATACATAGATAAAATTCTCGAGAAGTATGCAATGCAGAATTCCAAGAAAGGTGGGCAACCATCTAGGTCTGGAATTACTCTTTCGAACAGTGATTGTCCCAAGACATCTGAAGAAAGGGAATACATGGCGAAGGTGCCTTATGCTTCGGCGGTCGGGAGCCTCATGTATGCAATGCTTTGTACTCGACCGGACATTTGCCATGCGGTCGGGATTGTAAGTCGATTTCAGTCAAATCCAGGACCTAACCACTGGGTTGCGGTCAAGCATGTATTCAAGTATCTTCGGAGGACTAGAAACTATATGCTGGTATATTCCGGGGAGGATTTGACACCTCTAGGATATACAGATTCGAATTTTCAATCCTGTTTGGATTCTAGGAAATCGACTTCGGGTTCTGTCTTTACTCTGGGAGGTGGTTCCGTCGTTTGGAGGAGTGTCAAGCAAACTTGCACTTCTAACTCAACGATGGAAGCCGAGTATGTGGCAGCTAGTGATGCTTCAAAAGAAGCAGTGTGGCTCCGCAACTTTTTGATGGATCTTGAAGTTGTTCCTGGTGTGGATAAGCCATTAAGACTATACTATGATAACAGTGCGGCAATAGCTAACACCAAAGAACCAAGATATCAGAAAATGAGTAAGCACATAGACAGGAAGTATCACGTGATAAGAAGCTTTATTAAAGAAGGGCATGTGAAAATATGCAAGATCGCGTCGGAAGACAATATGGCTGACCCGTTCACGAAGGCCCTGCCGGCCAAGGTCTTCGAGAAGCATGTCGAGGCTATGGGGATGCGTAGCATGTCACATTTACTCACTTAAGTGCAAGTTGAAGAAGTTGAGTCCGATGATGAAGAATAATTGGCCGGTCTATAGCACGATTGTCGAAGAATTTCAACAAGGTGATAGAGAAGTCAACAAGAAGAACCGCACACCAAACTTTGGCAACTCTAAACATTTCCAGAGGAATAAAGCTACAGAGAATAACATGGAATCGAAGATAAGAAATAGAGGAATTCAATGCTGAGGTTGTGATGGTTATGGCCACATTCAAGCTGAGTGTGCTCACACCCTTAAGAAGAAGAAGAAGTCTCTCAACATCACATGGAGTGATGAGGATTCTGAAGTTAGCCAGGAGGATGATAACCATGGGAGCAATTATGTTACTTTCAATGTCTATGCTGATCAAGATGTTTGTGACGGCTGTGTTGCAGACAGTGTCTCAGACGGTGTTGCAACACCCTCTGCAACAGATTCTGAAAACTGCAAAAAAGATGGAGCTAATTCAGAATCTGACAGTAGTAGTGATAATAAAGACCTAACTTATGAAGCCATTCAAAAATCCTACCAGACCATGTTCAACAAGTGGGTTAAAGTATGTGAAATGAATAATTCTCGACGGGAGAGAGTCGATGAGCTTGTTAAAGAGAAGAATAGTCTTAAGAGAGCTGTAATGAACTATGAATTTTAGGTTGTTGAAAAGGTAAATAGCTGCAAGAGACCAGGGCAGAATTAGAGCACACTCAAAAGTCATTGAAGATGATGAATTTTGACACCGCCAAACTAGATCATGTTCTCTCCATAGGAAAAGCAAGTTGTGATCGTCATGGACTTGGTCACACTATGTCACGCCCCCAAACCGGGGTTAGTGACGTGGAGGCTCGTTTAGAAACTTAAACCTGTTTGAGAGAGTGATTAGCAAACATTTTAATTTCTTTCAAATCCAAAACATCCAGGTATTTCCAAACGAGCCCCTTTTTATTCAAGAGAAATTCAATTTCAAGAAACGGTTGTGAAATTTCCAACCAAATCAGTTTAAAACCACGTCCCTGGTATCAAGTCAGGAATTCCCACAGATGTTAGCATACATGAATATAAACAAAGTGAGTGTGACATCAACCACAGTCTAGATGATCAAGCGTTCCAAAAATCTTCTTAACTATCTCCTTTCTTTAAATTAGCTTATATGTGAACACTGGTTAATTTTCTTTCCTTCCAATCAGTATTGGCTATGGCCTTCTTAAAAAACTCCTTTAGGACATCAATTGCGCCTAGTTTGAGAGATTTTGCCTTTCACTGCACATACACACTTAAATTTATGTTAGTTAAATCATAAATTTAAATGACATATAATAATATTCTGACATATAAAAGATGCTACTTTAGTTACATGCATATAATACACGCTCATGATATAGGTTCATGCTATATGGTATATCATCAGATCTTTAGTCATTAAAATACATGAATTACAGGTATGCACTTTCTTCTC